TCTTCGTGAGGCCTTCCCATCTCTCATCTCTCTCACACGAAACCAAGATTCTTCAGTGGCCCAAGAACTCAGCACCTTGGAAGTTCGAAGAGTTTGGAACCCTTCCTTTAGAAGGAGCCTAAACGAAGTCGAGACGGCTGATTTCCAGCGACTATTGAACTCCCTGCACTCTCTCTTCTTCATTTCTCAAGGAAGAGATGAAATCATTTGGACCATAACCCCCTCGGGCAAATTCTCAGTGGCTTCACTCTACAAAAAACTTTCCTCCTTCCCCTCACCATCCGAATAGGTGCGTTTTGTGTGAATGCGAGGAGGAAACAAACTCCCATTTGTTCCTGCTTTGTGCCTTCTCTTCAGACTTATGGGGCAGGGTTCTACAACTTTTTGGCTCACAATGGGTTACCCCACCCTCGGTAAAGGCCCTCCTTACCTTCAATTTTGAATCAAGCTGGTCAAAGGCAGGTAGAATCCTGTGGAAAGTGACCTTAGCTGCTACCATTTGGCTAGTATGGATGGAAAGAAGCTCCATAATTTTTCGAGGGACTAAGCTTTCAATTCCGGCCATTTTTCAAAAGGTAACCACCTTGGTGACCTTTTGGGCATCCAACATGAAGTTCTTCGCCGGAATTCCAAGATCCTTCCTTTCCCAATGGGGAAATATCCTTCATCACCAACCAGCAGGGGCAGCTAGGCCAAGTCTCTGGTTACCGCCAAATCAAGGTAGCATCAAACTCAATTTTGACGGGTGCTCCTTGGGGAACCCCGGCCCAGCAGGGCAGGAGGAGTTTTCAAAGACTTTGAAGGCAATATTTTCCTCACCTTCTCCGATTACCTCGGCATCAAGGACTCTCACTATGCGGAAGCCTTAGCCCTCCTCCTTGCTCTAAAAAATTCAACTTGTCCTCGGGCTCTAGCTTGATAGTGGAAGGTGATTCCAAGAATGTCATCTCATGGGCTAGTAGGACATGTGATCCTCCATGGTACTTGATCCAAGTTTTGATGAGGTTCAAGACGTCTCATGGCAGCACACCTGGAGGACGTCCAACGACTTCGCGGATCGGCTAGCGAAGGAGGGTCCTAGAAGACAGGGCGAGGCAGTTCAAATTGGGTCCACCTTCTTTGTTGCTTTGGACCAGTGAATCCCCATTTAAATTTGGGCCTTTTTATTTTTCCTTGTCATTGTACATCTGAAGGTGGGAGGCCAATTTTATAAGCCCTATCCTAGCCTCTTTTTGTAAATCGTACTTAGGGGGGAAATTCTCTTACTGTACAGGGGTTTTCAATCTTCTTTTTACCGGGAGTCCCGTCTAGAGGGCTCTCCCGGAGAGACAACATACTGTAATTTCCTTTCTCAGCAATTCAAATGTTAACATTATAAAAAAAAATTTGGGCATCTAAGATTCATAAGGAAATGTTTAGATCTTTGTAATTGTACACTGGTAGATCTTCAAATTGAGGAAGACTACATAGCAAACCTTGCCAATTACGATGGAAAATCTATCGTAGAATGGAATATAGACATAATGTCAGAATATCAAGTAATTAACCAAATGGAACACATGATGATGCATGCTACAACATAAAAAATGAATGGAAATAAAGACTCGGATATTGTCAAGGCATTAATTTGAGGATTCACCAGCCAACTCAGGGGAAAAAAATCCATCTTTAAGATGGACTTTTGAGGGGCGAGACACATGCACATGTGAGTCCGAGGACTCATAGAAACCCCATCCATTGATCATTTTTAAAACAGGTCGAGACCTTTTATTGAAGCATCTTGTTATAGGAGATGCCATACTCCATGATTTGAGTGCCGCGGAGTTTGAACTCAAGCGGTCACATGTCTTTGTCTCTTTAGAAAAAAAATTCTAGGTCACACAGGTAACGTAAATGAAAGTTCATATATAAAATAGATGACATAAAGAAGTGGGCCATGTGTTACTATCCCATTGGCACGATAGAAATTGGTCACGTGATTTTGTTTCTTTGATGAGATAGAATTTAATTAAGATAGCTGACATGATGAGACAAACCCATAAGCATAAGCTCTAAACATGCCACCTCAGAGTCTTAACCCAAGACCTAGAGATTCTTCACTTCACGCTCTACCCTATGGACAATACACATGACTGTCGACAAGATGGAAATCCACATATAACAACATAAGCAAAGTCAAAACATAAAATAAATATTTTTAAGTATAAATCCCATCATCATCAAAGTCTTTTCCGAACTAATTTGGGTCGACTACAAAAATCCCAGTCCGCCATTTTGCTCTACTAAAGGTTATACCCTTAGTGAGGTCATAAGTTCACATATCGTTTTTCACTACTTCCAACTATGTCCTTTTAGGTCCCTTTGCCCTTTTTGAGCCTTCCACTTGAACTAACTCACAATTCCTAACAGGTGTTGTACTGAATATGCGCCACACATGGCCAACTCACCTAAGTCTACCCTCTCTCATCGTATCGCCTATTGTTGCCACACCTAAATTTTCTCGAATGTATTCATTTCGAATTATAGCTTCTTGTCTTGCCACTCATCCATCTCAACATCTTCATCTCCACTACACTCATTCCATGGGTATATATTGTTTTTTGATCACCCAATATTCCACCCCATAGAGCAAAGCTGGTCTCACAGTTGTCTTATAGAATTTGCCCTTCAACTTCATTGGTATGCGGCGATCACATAAAATTCCTATTGCACATCTTCACTTCGCCCACCCAGCTCTGATTCTGTGTGTCGTCTTCCCCAATCTCTCCATACTCCTGAATTATTGACCCAGGATATCGAAAGTGCACTCCTTTTGATATTACTTGGCCGTCAATCTTAACTACTTCCTCGTCTCTACTCCTATTATTACTAAACTTGCATTATAAAATATAAATATATTTTATTTTGTATATTTTATATAAAACATATAATTCAAAAGTATGAATTGTGAAGACGTGTTGGGAAGGGGAAATATTTTTATCCAAAAATAAGGATAAATGGTTGAACCCTTACCTGATTGCAAAGAAAGGGTCTTTGTGGTGGAAGGGGAGGGGGATGATGGTGTGAATTTTTCCTTTTACTGGTAATATCAATAATGAATATTGACCATTGTGATAAGGCTTGAACTTGCAACCATGTCTTGCTTAAAATAGTATCTTTCATTTCATCAAAGCAATGACTGAGTCCAATATCTGTGTAACACTATATATCATAAAGTACCAACATTCACGAAAACTTTCTTCGTCTCTTGGGAATTGCTGAATGCTTCTCAATACCCATTGAAAGTTGAGAATTCATACATATATAGTGTTTTCCTATAGATTATTGGTGACTAACTAAAGCAACAAACTAGACTAAAAAGAATAGAAGTTTTAGTGATATGAGGGTAGAGATTCCAATGGTGGTGGTGCTCATAAACTTGAACATCATGTCACTGGTTTCCGAGAAAGGATCTTAAGAGGTGAAGGTTGAACTACTGACCATACTGGGGAGTTGAAATGGAATGCCATGATCCCCTCTGAGAAAGTTATAAATTAATCATTTAGCATCAAATCCTCAAGCAGTCTTGTCAACTTACATTCAAAACAAAAATCCTTAAGCGCTCATGGTCTGACAAGGGTTTGGCAATCTCATTTGAGGTGCATTCCAGACCTAAATAAAGCATTTTCAAGCCGATTCGAGTCATTGATGTAAAGAATGTTCAAATAGAACACTTCTTACTATACTTAAGACTGGATCATATAGACTACAAAGGAGTAACTACAAACAGGAATTAGTCTTCTAGAGGACAACAATGACCTCCAAAGTTATATGGAGATCTCCATCCAGTATATACACAGGAAAACCACAAAACTGGGTGATGCTCTAACCCATAAAGGCCTTTGACAACGGATTCAGAAATGTATGGGAGTCGTCCCAGTCCCTCCCTTCTTTGTACAATAATTTTTTAGAGGAAGAAATTAATGATCAAAGAAAAAAAGTTAAAAGCATTGTAACATATGACACAAAGTAGTCATGAGGAACACACCAAAGAAAGGGCCTACATGCACTTCAGAGTTCAGAATAAATTTTTTCATCTAAAACACCAAGAGCAAGCCATATGAGAGTTCCAGTGCCTAAAACCAACCTAATCACAAACATAAAAAAGCAAAAACTCCAGGATAACTAAATAGAAGCACTTCAAACCATGTATCATAGGCACTTGAACATTCCAAATGATTAGCAAAAACTAAATAACTCCTAAACATGGAAATCTAGGTTTTAATTTTGAGTTTTTCTCAGAATTAAGATTGCAAGAAGCTTCATTATGCCAAACAATATTCCTTGACATAATCTAAGGCCCATGATTAGAGTTATTGACATAATCTCAAGGCCCATGATTAGAGTTCTAGCCAAAAGATGCATCACGGTTTCCTAGTGCCTAAGGAAAGATACTAGTGTCACTTCATACTAATTTGGAGCAATGAGGGAAGAGATTTTCTGTCTCAATATTTCAGTGCATTTGTATGGTTGGATTAAAATCTAAGAGAGCAGTTATAAAGGGTTTACGTATAAATATTTCAGTGCATTTGTATGGTTGGATTAAAATCTTAGAGAGGAGATATAAAATTTTACATAAATACTTTTTCAGTTAATGGTGACAATCGATTTGTTATAAGTTTCTAATGGTTTCACGTATTTAAACTCCCTTTTCTTTTTCTTTCTTATTTCTAATAGCACTTCAACTAATTAGCTGCATTTTTCCTCTTCATTCGATTTTTACAGCACAAATGTCATATTTCAAACTTCTCACAAATACAGAAAGAACACAGCATAAGTATTCAATCCCCTCCAATGTACAGATGGCCATTATGAAGAGAACACAAAAAACTAACTTTTTTTTTTTGTGTTTAAAAAAAAAAGTTATCATTTGCAGGGGTACTTTCATTCATCAAGAAACAAATGAATAAAAAGGAAGGAAAGAGGATAGAAAGTAAGGAATAGAGAAGGTGGTTGGTTACCTTGGAAGAACTTTCAGAAGGGGTTTCAATCTTTGGAGCTTCCAGAGCCTTGAACCCTCCATCTGAACCACTACTACCTTTCCCCACCGCCAGTCCAGAATCATACAAAAAGTCCAACCTTTCCTGCTTCCTGAAAAACAGTGAAACAAAAAAGAAATAAATAAATAAGAAGTTAGATTTGGAACCCTAAGCCGAACCATTCCCAAAAAAGAGAAAGATAAAGATACTAATAATTTAGAGAGAAAAAGATAGAGATGAGCCAGATTCTCACGGGACCAGGCCAGCTTGTTCCTGTAACTGTCTGAATTCAGAACGTTCCCTCTCCTCTTGGATCTGTTTCCTGAGCTCTTCGAGCTTCTTGTCCTCTGCATCGCGCTTCTGCTCCGCCTTCCAGACATTCTCAATGTTTCGAAGGCTACCCGTGTGCCATCCCTTCTTGTTCAGAAACTTCAGTGCCATCCCTCTCTTCCTACGTCAGAAACCCAAACTATTTCTCTCTTCGAAAAGTCAGATCCCAAACCCTAACCCTAAACACCTGCAGATGAATCTCGTTATATCTCAAACCCTAGTTTTCGCCTCAGCAACCCTAATCAGCATGCGATTCTAATGAAATTTCAATCTTCGTCCAGGACCGATATCAGCATCAGTTTGCAGGAGAGGGGATGGAACGAGGAACCTTTTATTATTATTTTTCTCATTTTAACAAAAAAAAGCGCTCCCAATTATTGGAGTTTATATAGGTTGCAAGTGTCCATGTTTAGCTGCACTTCAAAGACTATGATCATCTCCGCCCATATACGGGCTGGACCACATTTCCACATATGCCGACCATAAAGTGTAAAGCATGCATCTTAAAGCGGGAGGCTAGGTGTTCCATCTAAAAATAATGAAAATTAGCGGTCCAAATATTTTTTTACGATAATTATTATTTTTAATTTTTTAAATTTATTTATTTATTAATATTCATGATATCTATATTAGAGATTATATGTTTTCAAAATTTAAGTTTTAAAATCAACCTCAATAATATATTTGTTAAGAGACTTGTATTTCTATATATACAAGCTTGGCCGTATAGAAATTGGGTTGTTGCCTGGGTGTGGTTTTTATAAGGCTGAGGCTCTAAACAATTAAAATAAGGCCTATGTTTAAATAGTATTAAAATATGTTATTCCACTATCAGAATTTTTTGCAATGGCTTAAAATTTAATGCGTACAAAATAGTATAGGTTGAACAAATATATGAACACTTCAAAATCTTTAAAATTTATAATCTAAAAAATCCATTATGTGATACATTATTTTCAACCAATGAGATGCATCAGCTTTGGTATAAATTAGAATTAAGATGGTAAATTTGGAATTTGAAAGGATACTTGTCAAAATAATAAAAGGGCACTTCCTTTATGTTAAGATATATAAGAAAGTTAAGATAAGATAGATATTTGAAATCTATTTGATTTGAGGATTTTTGGGCATTAAAACAACCTCTTCTAATGAACTTTTGAGGTGTTACTTAATTTGATTGTTTATGGCCTTGTGCTTGTATATATTGTTTTTTTATTTGAAATATATTTTGTTTGGACCAAACCTACCAAAACCCATATTGTCTTTCCAACAAATCAATTGAATCAGCAAGCCCAAGGACACGACGCATACTATAATCGAACATTGCATAATATTTAGTTAGAGTAAGCTGATGCAAGAGCGTGATAATGGTGTAAAATGCAGAGGCATATAAAATATACACGGTGCCAAAAACATCCTTAAAAAATTACATTTTGAAGTTCAATTTTTTTATTTTTTTATTTATTATATGATCAGCTTAGCTTAGATGCTAAAATTTCAGATAAAAAATCGATATTGAAGGTCAATTTTAGAGGGAGGCCGTACGTGTGCATATGGAAAACCATCCATTTAGCATGAATCGTTAATTCGAACTGCTGTCGAGAGAAGAAAGTCGAGGTGAAAAGAAGTTTTAAGTCGATAAACTGAGGGAAGGTAGTTTGAGAGAGTCACGCAGAGACGGGAGAAGGCAGTTTGAGAGAGTCACGCAGAGACGGGAGAAGGCAGTTTGAGAGAGTCACGCAGAGACGGGAGAAGGCAGTTTGAGAGAGTCACGCAGAGACGAGAGAAGGGCGTATTGGCTCCGGTTTGGAGTGAGAAGGGCTTATCTGTTTTGTAAAGAGAGAGATCCTTCTCTCTCTAAGTGCAGGGCAAGATGTCATCAAGTAGTGGCCTCACCTTCAAGCTCCATCCCCTAGTTATTGTGAACATATCAGATCACCACACTCGAATCAAGGCTCAGCAGGTTTATGGCCATGGGAATAATGGTAACGGCTCCTCATCGCTTCCTCCTCCTAGGGTTTTTGGCTGTGTCATTGGGGTTCAGAGGGGCCGCACTGTGGAGATATTCAATAGCTTCGAACTTCTCTACAATCCCACTTCCGAAGCCCTAGATCGAGCCTTCCTCGTAACCAAGCAGGAGCAATGTAAGCATCTCTCTGAACAAACCTAACCTCTCACTTCAGTCGAGTTTCCATGAAGTTATTGCATAGGGCTTCTTATTAATTACAGTCTCTCTCTGTATCGCTTTTATTTTGATTATTTTGTTTAAGCAGTGCGTGATGTTTGTGAATATAATTAGGTCTCCATAGATGGTGTGAAGGTTTAAGCGTTGGGAGTTTTAGAACTCAGGGATAAATAGCTGATTAACTTTCAATAGAGCCAAACCACTTGGATAGTTCCGTTTATAGTTTCACGTGCAAATTTGAAGATCAATTCAAGTTCTAATATCTGGGATGTAATGGGAGATTACTAGAAAAGTCATTGAGAAGGAAGCATGATCCCACGTGTTGTCTTCTAAGAACTTCAATGGATTTCTCTTACATTAACTCTTAACTGTTTTTTTCTGGCATGCCAAAACTAATACTTCTTTCTTGAATTTGGGCATGCCTAGACCAATATTGCTGGTCTTTAAGAGAAGCTGTTTGGTGCATTTTCTTTGCTCTTTTTTTCTTTTCAATGTGTTTAGATTAATTTACTGGTACAATAGAAAGCATAAAAGCAGGCTTTATTCGCTAATGGTGTATAATCGTAGTTCTTTTGGGAGTTCTTTTTCTCTATGAGAATGGTTTTATTTGTTATTTGCATCAGGTTTCAGACTTTATTTCCACATGATCACCGAGTTTAAATGCTTGCATGCCCTCCCTTAATGATGCAGATAGGAAGGTTTTCCCAGATTATTATATACTTGGTTGGTATTCCACTGGAAATGATGTTCAGCAAACCGATATGCAGATCCACAAAGCTGTAAGATTCTTGAATTAAGGAGCTTCTTTATTTCTTTGTTGATGCTCTTTTACTTAATTCAATTTTTCCAGGATGACCTACTATTCTGCGTGCATTGGGTAAAATGATAATCCCATAATTTGAGTTCCCAGTAGTGTCAGCACATAGTTGCAAAAAAAAAAGGGGGTCCCAGCCCCTTTTGATAATAATACGTAATGCCACTTTTCGGTGATGCTTTGCTCCACCCAGTAGTTTGGTTTGGCAGTAGGCAAACACCGAGCACTGACTGCCTAAACAAAATAAGGCAAAACACCTCTTACTGCATTCTGAAACCCTTCAGCAAAAGATACATAAATTTTAAGATAGCGATGGAACCACTGGTTTTATTACCTTGGGTCAATAGTACTATCATCTCTTTCATGTTTGGACCAGTGATCAAAAAATCACCAATACAGATAATCACCGATCCTGGATAACGAGTTGCTGATGAACATTCGTGGTGGTCTCTGCGATTCTCTAGTTTATGTAATAAAACATGTACATTATATAACAAAACTCTGAAGTGATTGATTTGGTGGCATGTGCATTCATGATCTTTCATGTCGGCGGTTCAAACCTCATGGGATACAACTTTCTTTCTTCTTTCAGTTTCCTTTTTCTTTTTTTAATGCCAAAACATTTACAGACATATGGATGGCTTAATTTGCTGTCATGGTGGTGTGTTGTTTATGTGCGTGAAGGTCTTGGGTTCGTATTCTCCCTTGACGCTGTGGGCAACACCCCCTCTTACACACTCAGCATTAACAGACATATGTGCAAATGTGTAAAAAAACATAACAGAAAACTCAAATAGTTTATTTGGTAGCGCATGATTTCGTTTTTCAACATGTTGGAGGTTTGAACATCATGGGATACAACTTATTCTTCTTCTTCTTCTTCTTCTTTTTAAATGTTAAACTAAAAAAATTGGTATATACAATAATTGTAAAAAATTAGTTAGTAAGAGTGGGGCTCAAACCCTTGCACTCTAAAGGTCATGAGGTCCACAAAAAAAACACAAGAACATTATTCCTCTTAGCATACGAGCATTGAAGATATCAATGTTCTTTTTTAAAAAAAATTATTATTATTAAATTCTATTAGTCTACTTATCTGGATGATTTAGATAGCCAATCTGAATTGCCAATCCTGCCTATCAAGATTGGGATTATTGAGAGGCCGATTCACCTCATTGACCCATTTTCTAAAGAACTAGCTTGGACTAGGCTAATCGATATTCATAGGACAAATGTGCAATGAATGATTTGTATTTGATTGTTATTTACATGAAACAGAATAGTCAACTAGCATTCTCCTCGTGCTAGATTTATACTTTATTTCAATTGCTCTAGCATCCTGCACTTATATGAAACAAGCGGCAATAAATAGTGCATTAACTGAGACCAATTTTGTCAGATTCACTATGGAGCCTATTTTTGTTTGGTCTGAAAAATGGAGCAATTCGGCTGATTCGGGGAAAGACTTTATTTTTTAAAATTTTAAATAAATAAAAACTATTTTTATAACTTTATAAAGTTTTAAAATTAAAAATTTAATAATAAATAAGTTTGTTACTGCTTATATGTTCGAACCATCACCATTGACAAACAATAATCACAAAGAGCTAAGTTATAGCCTTGATGTTCATCATTTTGCGTTCCAAAAACATGAAATGATAAATATGTGTGAACATCCATCATTTTTTGTTTTAGCAATGCACCAAATGAAAAATTGCAAATACAATGGTAAAAAACGTATGTGAATGAATCTACAACCATAGGGCTCACAAGAGCACTCATGCGCATGCATAGTATATAAACGAAAAAGGCAAGATGCAAATAATCATATTATTTTAATGCTACCATTTTTTTTTAATGCCTTGGGAACATCATAGATTTAAATGTTTACCCCTATCCTGTTTGGCTGAATCTGCATCCTTCAGCGATATCGACCCAAATCTGGCTGAAGCGATTGAATCAGGCCGAATTATTGGATTTTTCTTTACTTTGCTTGGTACAGAGGGAAAAGGCAAAGGCTTCGGCCTCTGACCTGACCTGCCAGAACTTAACAACACTGAGTGAGACTGCTCATTTGAAGTACACATGTTAGGGAAGGGACACACATGTTTAGTATAATCCCTCAATCGATCAATATGCATTTTTTTTTTCTGTTGCTACCTAGATTTATGATATGATGTAGAGGGTAGTGTACGAGAGACACATGACAAGATGCCTCTTATTTTTAAGTTTTTCTTATTAAATATTAGGGGTGTATTTTTGGAATTTATAGGGGTTATTTTTAAAAAAATTAAAGTTTTTAGGGATTCTATTTTTTGGAATTTTCTAGGGGTTATTTTTAAATTTTTGTAAGTTTTTAGGGATTCTATTTTTTTTCATATTTTTAGGATTTGGGAGTCGTTAAGAGAAGTAGTTAGAGTGTTTATTGAGTCATCATCATCATCATCATCAAACCCGTTTCCCAACTAATTGGGGTCGGCTACATGAATCTTGGTTCGCTGTTTTGAGAGTGCTTAAGGAATATTTTGCTTTATCAGGGGTAAAAATGTCATTTTGTTTAATTATGACTTCAATTTCATTGGGATTCTTGGGCTCTAAGTAAGGTCTTTTGCTGTAAATAGGGGTCTATGTAGAGTATTTAGAATAGAGATTGGAGATAATGTTTACCTCCCATGTATCGATCTTGCACCGCCCGCTTTGCACGTCCTCATAGCGGGTACGCCACCATAGCTTGGCATGTCCCATGAGATACATGGTGGCAGTTGGCACCATGGCATCCTCATCACATTGAACCGTCTGAAAGTCTTGCTCGATATCCCACAAGAAGTTTTCCAACTCCTTGGCATCTCTTGCGCAAGAGCACTTGCTGTGGGCAAAGCGCTAGTGTTTGAATACGTCAAAAGCACTTGTTTGTCGAGGGCTTGCGTTATAGTCGGCCGTACTACTTGACTTTACTTAGCATACAACTAGTTGCTCTGTATAGGGCTGGGCTTTGCAATTACTAGCAGCTATGTAGATGGTTGGGCTTTGTAAGAACGGGGCAAGGCCCAGAGACGAAAATAGTTAAGAGGTGAGCTAGTTATGATCTCGTGCTATGCTATGCTATAGTAACGAGACGAGCTATCGGAGTCGATCGACCACTGCTTGGCTATAGTAATGAGACGAGCTGCAGGGGAGCAGTAACGAGACTAGACTGCCTTGCATCCCTCTACCCACAGACTTATACTAGACCGCCTCACTCATTCTATGCTCGTTTAGTCTAGATCTACAGAAAAGCGCCTTGACTGACGAGCTTGTTCAGTCTACATAACGTGTCTCCACACAACTGCTCGAAACATTGTTTCCGGAAGAAGTGGCTTGTGAAATTCCAAAGTGTGTTTATTATGTTTTGTATTTTCTAGGTTTATTAATGTCTAGGGAAAAGAAGTGAGTTAATGTATTGGTTCTTGTACGTTTAGACTATAGTAATTAGTAGTGTCTAGGAAGTTGTAGTTTTCTTGTAATGAGCATTGTGTGACTTTAAGGGGTGTTGACCATGGGTGAAAGCAAGCCTAAAAGGGGGTGGTCTGTGACCCTGAATTGAAACTTATAAAATTTGAATAGAACATCTCAATGGTAGAGCTTGTCTCCCATTGACTTTCTCTCTCTTCCTCTCATGTTTTACTTGTTCTCCCTCTCTCTCTCTAGTTTGCTGAACCGTTTTCCCCTCAACATTTGGTATCAGAGCCCACAAGTTCCAAGTTAGGAGGCTTCTCTTTTCTTAGAATTCTTTCATGGCACAAAGAGGGGCTAGAAGTAGGGGAAGACGCGACAACTTTTTGGGGAATAATGTGAGGAATGATGAGTTGATGAGTTGTGTTGCCAAGTTGGCATTTGACTGCACAATTTGAGTGCTTAAATGCTCAAAATGTGCTTGAGTCGGTAAACCCCTTTGCAGAAACAGCATCGGTGAGAGGAGATGAGGGAGGACAATTTTAGAGTTGATACAAACTCTATCAAAGTTGACATAGAGATTCTAGTGTTTCCATGGACGTCTTGATTAAGAAAAACCGGAGAAAATTTGCGTGAAGCTTGTAGCCACTAGACTACATGACTAGGCCTCGGCATGGTGAGATCAAATCCAGCATCTTCGCCTTTGGAAAGAGGAGTCTAAGGTTACTCAAGGGAAAAGATGAGGCCTAAGATGAAGGAGATGTTCCTGCCAATTGAGTTCTTGCAGGTTCTCTTCTCCCAATTCAGTAGTCCTTGGCAAGAGACTAAGAGTGTGGCTGAAGACACTGAACTGTTTTACAATCTCATAGTAAGAAATGACATACAAGAAACGGAGGAGCAGCTCGTTTCTAGGTATGTCGGTGGCTTGTAACTAGCCGCCAGATATGAGGTGGAGATGCATCGTCTGTGGAAGATTGATGGCGCTTATCAATACGTGTCAAAAGTGGAGGCAAAACTTAATCAAGGCAACACTAGACGGTTCACTGACACTTGTGACTCTTTTAAGAGTGAGGTGTCCAAAAGTGAAGGCTCAAACACGTAGGAAGGAAAAGTGTCTGCTGAGAACAACATTTCTGGCTGCAGTGGTTCGGCCCATCTTGAGTGGCCCTCTGGGCCCCACCATAAGCCTATAACTTGCTAAAAGTGTGGCCAAACTGGTCACCTTTTTAAGTGTAGTATCCCCAGAGGCAGTTTGACTCATGAGTCACTCTTATGGAGGACGGTGGGGAAGAAAATTTTATTGGGAACAGTTCTGGACCCATCTATGATGAAGAGCCCAAGCTGGTACAGGAAGAGATTGAGCTCGAGATGAGTGAAAGCTTGGTAATCTGCCAAGTTCTAACCATTCTCATGGCTTAAGCCTAGTGAAGATTGGCTTTTGTCAAGCATTTTTAAGACCCAATGCAAAGCTGGTGGCAAGGGATGCACCATTGTAATCGATGCCAGTAGTTGTGACTTGTGAGAACATAGTGT